ACGGTGGCCTCATAGGACAAAAAGCCTTGCACAGACAGAGATGGCATCATCCACAAGTTTTTCAAGTTTGTCAGGAGTAGGCCCATCTAGCGATGAGGTGAATATTTATTGAGGAATCTAAATCATGTTACGATATTGTAGCGACCCTGCAGTAAATGTTCTGTTGTAATGTCAATGTTCTGTGAGTTAATGGCATGTTTGGGATTGAATGAGTATAGGTAGGGGGGCGGGGTGAGAGTGTGACAGGGATGAGAGCTGTGTGAGTGCACGTGCTGGTGTGTGTATGAGCGAGCTGGAGGAGAGAGCAGTGAACAGTTGGAGTTACAGTTAAGTTCTTGTTTGTCGGTTGTTTTGGCGTAGATACGGCCAACAGTAACCTGTACTGTTCAGTAATAAACGATGGTTTGCCGAATAACTGCGTCATCCTTTCCACATGTCCTGGCAGACACTACATTATGTAGGGATGCACCGAATATTCGGTAACCGAATATATTTGGCCGAATATTGCAAAAAAACCACATATTCGGTATTCGGTGGAAAAAGTTAAAAGCAAGGCCGAATAATAGCGGCGTTTTGATAACGCAATCAAACGGCGTGCTATGACGGGCGGAATAAAATGTCAGTAGTGTGGCGATCCGTCCGTCACGGCACTCGCATTTGCGACTAAAAATAAGTTTTGAGCGAGCAAAATAGGCTTAAATCATTCAGAACGCTGTGCGAGCAGCCTACAGATTTAAACCAGCAGCAGAAACGAAAGGTGAATACCACCAATTGTGGGTTGAACGGGGGTCACAGACACAGACAGTAACGTTAATGTATTCCTGTCAAATACGACGGCCATCGGCTTACCGGGCGACGGAGAAGTCGGTTCCAATAATATCCTCTTCTTGGTGTCATGACTGCCCAGAAGTACCTGAACAGCCGAGCCAGCCTAACACAGGTATGTGATGTGTCAGAGGAGAAACGAGCCGTTCACATTTCTCTCTTTCTGGCAGTAACGGCCCACAAACCTCACCGCACTTTAGGGACTGTTCATTACTTATCAAGGGACTGTCAGGGGAGGAGGGTAGCTGATTGATTTTTATTTTATTAATTTATTTTATTTTGATCCCCCTATGTTAATCACTTACTGATGCTGTTTTTGAAGTATGAATAAGTCAATAAGTAATTTATTCCATTGAAATATCATTGATGTATTATAGAAAAGTGATTTATCTTTTCATAAATGACAAAATGCACATCTGCCTCATTTTCGCTGTGGTATAGTGATAATACTCAGAACCATGATATTTTCATTGGTATCGCAAAGTGGGTCCCAATTTTGGTACCGTGACAACACTAATCCGGAGGGGGTTCATCTGCAAAAACTAATGAAAAACTAAACAATGATATTCGGTACTCGGTATTCGGCCAAGAGTTTAATAATATTTGGCTTCGGCTTTGGCCACAAATTTTCATTTCGGTGCATCCCTAACATTATGTTATAGCTTACCAGTGAGGTATAGGTTATCTGTGAGATATAACGTTATGTTAGGAGTGTTTTATCTCTAATTGTTTTGGTAACACGAGCAAACATTAGCACAGTAATGCTAAAATAACACGTTTATGTGATAGTCACGGCACAGTGCGGCAAATATAGGTTGGTACGATTATAATATATGCGTCTCCAGAGTGTTCTTCCACAGGAGTTCTTTCCACCTGGAATAAGCAACGCTGATATTCACTCGCGTTTTGTCCCGTCCTCACTTATCTGATCTTTTTCTTTTATTTGGTGGCATGGTTTCCCTCTTATGGGGCAAAACATATGTGTGGTCCTCCATTTAAAGTGCGACATAATCATAAAAGCACAATGCAGGTTCACGCAGAAGCGCCCCGGATTGAGCTTCACCTTCTCTGTCTCCAGTGACGGCAAGTTCTAGGTAAACGCGAAAGGCGAAGTGCGTATATCCCTTTCGGCCACTGTATTCAAATATGGCGACACAAGATGGCAGCCTCCAGCAGACCTCGCTCTGCCTGTGTATATATAGAGAAATCATTCTAAGCCTATGAGAAAGCTTCCATTTGTATGTGAATTGCATTACACTTTAGTAAATATATATTTATGAAAGCAATAGTTGATATTTGCTAATAAACAACCATGTAAATTACACATTGTACCTTTAATACACCTACTTTTTGTCTTATATCCATGTTCATGTTCATGTTTTCTTGCGTCTGTGAACTTATTACTTCAAAACTATTTTCTGTAAAATGAAATGAGCGCTGACGCTACACCATGATACATGTAATTTGGCTAAATAAAAATACTTAAACAGATTGTTAGATGACAGTAAAGTCAGGAATTAGAAATACATGACAATACATGAGCAATGGTGCATAGAGAGCAACACACAGCAACACAGCTTATATCTTACAGCCAGAGACTTTTCACAACCTGAACCAGTCAACCACAGACCAAATCCAACAGCTCATACTTCATAACTTCAACAAACCATAGCGCCGAGAGGAAGAGGAAGGCCTTTAGAGATACAAACAAGCTGTTCAAACTCCCAATAACTTCGCCTTCATGTCCACCGACAGTTACAGTTAATAAATAAACACTGCGTCACTGGCAAATCATAACTAATCAAGAAAAACTCACCTGTTGCTGAGCTTCATTTCCAACATGGAGCCGCCGTCTGTCAGTTTGTTTTGTTTCCGGGTGTTCGCGGAAATTCTCTCTGGATACAAATATGTCCATGTTCCTCCTCCTTCTTCTTCTTTTTCTTCTAATGGAATTCTGTTCCTCCTCCTTTGGGATAAAATGTCCTTTAAAGTTGAAGTGGTGGAACATTCAGCCACATGTTCAGGATTGTTGAGCCTTCTCCATCGTTGCACTGGTACACATTACACGGAAGTCAATGAGTCGCCATTTCCCAAAGGCTAACTGGCTAATTGCGCTAAAAACAAAAACCGGTCAATCATATCAAACGGTTAAAATAAGTAAATACTTCTAAATTTCGCTGGCTAATATAAAACTCGCCGTCGGAAGTTATTAAAATCTCTCCGTGAGCGTCTTCACAGTAGATATTCACACTGTCATGACAGGAAACACACAGGTGCATCAATATCACTAATGATGGCTCCGTTTAACTCTACAGGTGTTACATCGAAATGTGTTCCCCCGTCGACTAGTGTCCCCCGTTAATGCGTAGCGGCCATCTTGATGGTTGGGTTCGAGCTAATTGGTGGCTAACAGGTTCAGGTTTAGGCGGGTTTATGTTAAAATGGCGGACACTTACCGACGGGGGAAACCGAGGAAACAGACTTCGTCATAACACCTGTTAGCCAGCATCAGCATGTATTACACCTGAGCCCTTGACCGGAAGTATCTTAACTTAATGCAGCCGGGGATTTTAGAAACACGGAAGTCATGAATCTGTAAAAAATATAATATAAATTATTATTAAAATTATTATATCATAGATATAATATAAATATAATATAATATAAATATAAAAAAGTGTTATACATTAATTTCTAAAAGTATGTTCTGTTTTTTTTTAATAAATAGATCCTTATCTCAGAATTATAAGAAAAGTTTTCATTGGAAAAAAATGCTATTTTTTCCTGAATTTGCAAGATTATTATCTCTTTAATCCAGAAAAAAAGAGCAACTTTTTCTCAATTGAGCCTTTCCATACCCCAATGCCGTCTTACTCATGTAAAAAATGTTTGTCTTTATACCAAAAACTCTGTATTTTTTATTCATTTGTTTTGTGTGACATCTATTCATTTAACTAGTTTTATTTCCTTTAAATTTGACATCCCTTTTCTGTGAATGGTCAACATCCTCAAAAGATTTGTCCATGATGCTAACAACTTAATTTTGAGAAAGAAATACTTAATCTCTTCATTTTATTTAAATTCAACTTAATTGTTTTGCCTGAAAGACTGTACATATAGAGAAACTGACTCTCACAAACACCTCCTCGTGTTGTTATCATGGAAGAGCATGACCTCATTCTCCTCAATGGCCCTGAATGAAGCTTATAATTAATGATATTAATTATGCCTTCAGTGAGGGGTCAAAAGGTCAGTTGCAGGGGTGGAACCGGATGTACACATTAGGGGCTCAGCCCAAACCTTGGGGGAACTGTTTTGTGGTTTTCTGGCTCTCTGTGGCCATTGTTTGTCTCCATGTGATTGTTCTGTGTGTCTTTGAGGTAATTGTGTGTCTTCTTGTGGTCATTTTGTGGTTCTTTTGTGTCTCTTTAATGGAATTTTGTTTCTTACTGAGGTCAATTTGTGTCTCTTAAATGTAATGTTGTTTTCTTTGGTCATTTTGTGTCTGTTTGCAGTTCTTTTGCATCTCCTTGAGGTCATTTTGACTCTCTTCCTGGGCCATACCTGTTAATTTGGGTGACATTTTGCAGGTGAAGGCCAGGAGTCCCCTCTGACACTGCAGGCCCCTGGGCCTGTGCCTTGTAGGCCCGTTCAGTAAGTGTGGATGTATTACATCTTTCACCTTAACAGTAACTCAGCGACTCATCAGCCTTGAGTTTGATCCTCATTGATGCCCTGCAGTCCCACTGGCCTCCAGTACTTGTGCTTTTATTTACTGGGCCGTCGGCAGAGGTATCTTTCTCTGAGAAAGAAGCTCCATTCTCTGTCCGAGCTAAATCAATATCCCATTATGGTGTTTCAGAGGGAAATGGCTTAGAGGAAAGAAAGAGAAATAACCTCATATATTCTGCCGATCCATGGATGTGTCTTTCTGCCTCTGTCTTCGGAGGTGAAGTTAGGGTGAAATAGTTGGAAATGTTGAATTTAGAGAATATGGAAGACCCAAACAACAAAGAGAAAATAAACAGTTGATGACTGAAAGGAACTCCCTTGAATAATCTGACAGTGTGCTGTTTAAAAAAAATCTCTGCTTGATATGAGACACAGAGAGAAGAAGAGGAAGAAGAGGAGACTGCAGAGAGAGGGGGATGAAGGAAAAATCCATGCAACACATCTCAATGTTTTTATGGGCGTTTTTTAATTGAAACCAGCTTCACTGATAACAAACATGCAATATCACTGTACAAGCCAACACCACAGATAAGTGTTACTCATTCAAGTCTTGACACATTGTCAAGGATTAGCCAGCAGCACACACACACGCACACACACACACTTTCAGATGTTGTACAGAGATAAACACGCTCTTTTGCTCTTTGACATACACAACACACAAACACACACTCACACAGTCATATTTACATATCACAGTGAATGATGGGTAAAAACGATGCGGGGAGGAGGATTACACTGTTCTCCCGGTCCGACCAGAGATGAGAATGGCAGCACAGTTCCAGTGATAGCGAGTAGTGTGTCTGACTGAGGTGGGATAAGGAGTGAGATGATGACAGTGAGGATGTGAGTAGAAAACGAGACCTTTTATCAGCATCCTAAAATCTGCGCGGGAGGCAGGCGTCTTGGATGGGCGCCTCTTAGCATTTAGACAAACAGGATGAGACTCCTAATATAAAAGAAAACAGGTCTGCATCGAGTCTTTTTTTTTTCCCGTCAAATCCACTCCATCTGTGCTACATTTAAATGCATGGTGTAATTACAGTATCATAAATACAGGGCTTCATAAATAGGTTTGGGGTATTGCTCAGATGATAAAACAACTGATAGCACTGCCTGTGATGCGCTTTTAGAAATGTAAAATCAAAACCCAACAAAAAAAGAAAACAAAATAAACAAAAAAAGGCCACACTACCAAAAAATAAATTCCAATAAATAAATAAATACTTTAAAACGTCATACAAAATTCTGACATTACCCTTTTTTCCAACATTTAATGGAAGTTCTGTCTACAAATGTAAGATAATAAATATATTTAGTATTTTTAGTAACAGTTAGGTTTAGGTGGGTTTATTTGGGATATCTCTTATATCTTTAAGCAAAAACTGGATTATAAACAGTAGGAAAGATCTCTGCAGAAACTCTATTTAATACTGCTCATATCACAATGGTTACGACACGATAAAATACTGCAAATTATCAAAACTGTACAGAAAAACTTACAAGTTTCTCTAAAATACATTTTCACTGTTAGTGTGTGAGAAGAGAGATACAAGAGAGCTCGTCTCTGTTTGACCAGCTGAGCAGCAGCAGCACTGTCCTTCAGACGGACCAACGGCACAGTCAACAGTCATCACCAGTCAAAGACGCCTCTCTGCACGCAGCTGATTGTTCTGCCTTCTGCTGCTCCAGTGTGGAGCAGAGCGCCGGGCCCCAAGGTCCCTCCACCATGTCAGCTCACCACACCCTTCTGAAGACTCCTGCTGATGGCTACTACAAGTCTACATGGAACTGGAAGAGAGAAGACTGCAGCAGGGCGAGCCAGCCCACATGTTTCTACCGAGTTCCTCTGGCATGGTGCACTCTTCTACTCCAGTTCATAGTTTCAAAATGATAGACGATTTTTTTTTCTTCTTTTCTCTGTCATGTGTTTTTTTAAAATGTAGTTTCTTAGATATTCCTCTAGCTAATCTACGTCACGGTTACAGGTGTGAGTGTTAGTGGCGTGCCACCAAGCGGTGGGGTGTTTTGGCTGGGTGAGGGCAGTGCCACCCTGATAGTGTGTGTATGTGTGTGTTTTTAGTGTAGAGGAGGGCAGGTGTCTGGGGCTGGCAGGTCAGCGGTGGCGATAGTGTCTCATGAGGGGGACGATGCAGGAAGGAGGGCCAGACATCTTGAGGAAGGGGTGCTGGAGGAGTTCCTGGGCCGTGGCTCTCTGCGAGGGCTCCCTCACCAGCATCAGGTCCAGGAAGGAGCGCAGCACAGAGGACACCTGGAGACGTAAAGAAATGATTTAGTCCTTTATTTAATCCATGATTATTGATTGTAAGAGAAGTTTACTACTAACACAAGACAGATCTCAGATAAAGAGGTAGTTTGGATTTTTTTGAAGTGGGGCTGTGTGAGATTCTAATCCATAGTTGGTGTATTACCTACAATAAATTGCAGTTGGCACACCTCCAGTTTGGAGAAGCAGGCTGGAGTACAGACATGGAAGCTAAGCAATGCACTGCCAAATGTGATGTATCTACCTAAATATCACATTATCAGTATAACTATATGCTATATTTAGAATATTTTCAACAATTTATCTTGCTTTCACACGACCCTTTTCGGTGGGAAACTGAACAAAAGTTTATCTAAACTCTCTTCACAGCCAGACTCTTTTGGGAAAAACAGTAATTTTGCCTCTCAGAACACTAGAGCTGCTGGTCTACGAGTAGTTACTTTGTTTAAATAACTTCAATGCCCCATCATAAATCGCTGTCTGACGTCAAGGTAAAGTGGGGAAAATATTCCAAATATAGCATACACTGAATCATATATGCCGCATTCGATACCATTGACTATGACATCCTTTCGGACCTGGGTAGGTATCAACGGCACGGCTCTACAATGGTTCAGGTCATACCTAACAGACAGGCGTTTTTGTGTGGGTATTGCCGACGCCAGGTCTGGTTCAAAAGATGTCCACTGTGGGGTGCCCCAGGGATCAGTGCTAGGTCCGATTTGCTTTTCAATTTACATGCTCCCTCTTGGCCATCTTTTACATAATATCAGTTTCCACTTGTATGCAGACGATACTCAGATCTATTTATTTTCCTTTTATTTATTAAATTGTTTAATTTGCTTTGTCTTTTATTTGGTTTTGTAAAGAACTTTGTAACTGCGCTATATAAATAAAGTTTATTATTATCATTCTTACTATTATCATAATTAAACTACTGCTGCCCTCGTCCACAGCAGTACATTTCTTAGGTTCTGTGTTGGTGCTCCTGCCTGCTTCTCCAAACTGGTGATGTGCAAACTGACACCTACTGCAGGTAATACACAGACTATAGATAAGTGCCTCATACAAACCCACTTCAAAAAATCTGAACTATCCCTTTAATACAGAACAAAACTGGTAGCACTTCAGTAGGAAACAATCACTGAGATATGAATTCTGTTTGTGACCTGTCCTTCTACAGTAGGTCAGGTCACAAATGACTACATATTTCTTTAAGAAGGGGTTAGTTAGCGCGGTGTATCTGCACCGTAAGTGACCAGACATACAGCCATGACACAAGTTTTTAATACCTTGTGCGACTCTTTTAGCCGAGGGGGCAGGTTGTCTCGTATCCTCCTCATGGCCTGCAGAGGGGGTTCATTAAAGTAGGGGGGCTCTCCGTCCACCATCTCAATCACCATGATGCCTAAAGACCAGATATCCACCTGGAAACACACAAACACATTCAGTCTCTGTACTGGAGCTCAGCACAGTAAAACACAGAGTGTACAATCACTCAGTATACTGGGAAGTCTCTCAGTGTTAATCCACGTGTGTGTCGTCCTCACCTCAGTCCCATAAGGTAGTCTGGAGATGACCTCTGGTGCCATCCAGTAGGGTGTGCCAACGAGGGACTTCCTCTTGGGCACCTCTTTGGAAACTTGGGCACAAAAGCCGAAGTCTGATAGCTTGATCTGCGAACACAAACACACCATGCTGCCTTCAGGTTCCACTCTCCACCATGTAGGTGTGTAGTAGAGACTGTATTAGTTCAGAACCTCTGTGTTTGATGTCAGGAAGTGCACTGACCCATTGTGATGAAGAGCTTTTATAGAAGACACTAATCTCCTGTATTAGTGGTTAATTAGCCTTCAATTAATCACGTCTTATCAGCTCGTTAGGAGGCATTAGGCAGGATTTAATTACTGGGGCACGGGTGGTAATTGATGATGATGAGTTTCTGGCACTGGCTGTTGACAAGTGGTGGGAGTGGCACCCATGGAGAAGGTCAGTGAGTGTGTGAGAGTGTGTGTGTTATAATGAAATCACCAGTGACAGAAACAGGGGTAGTAGCACTGGCTACTAATACCTGCTGTATCAGTAAGATCTGTTTGAACGGGGATCTCTGGGTTTAATAACATGCCAAAGGGAGGAGTGTGAATGAATAATATATCTGAACACACTAAGAGACAGAGAAACACACACTCCCATCACGTGTACTTACCCTGCCATCACTGGTCAGGAGAATGGAGTCGCTCTTAATGTCGCGGTGGATGACGCCCTGTGTGTGCAGGTAGGACAGAGCCCTCAGCACCGACAAACACACTGTAGCTATCTGCTCCTCGTTCATCCTGTGAGGAAACACACACACACACACAAATACGTGTCAGCAATGAGTTTGAAAGTAGAAGAACAACTGGGACCATATTCGACATGTTGGTTTGTAATAAGAAAAACAACACAAAAAAAAACAAATATGAAACTATAAAATTGCAGTCATTGTTTAAATGTTTGTCGTCATTCAGCTTTTACATGCCATACACTGGAGTAAACTGGTGTCTTGCACAACATTGAATCTGCACAGGAATACACAGAATGGCTGAGTAACATCAAAAGGGTAGATTGGGTGCTTTCAGTGACCATGTTTACATGCACACTAATCTTTGACTATTAATCTGAATATGACAATATTCTGGACAGGTCACCAGACTATCACAGGGCTGACACATAGAGACAGACAACCATTCACACTCACATTCACACCTACGGACAATTTAGAGTCACCAATTAACCTGCATGTCTTTGGACTGTGGGAGGAAGCTGGAGCACCTGGAGGAAACCCACGCTGACACAGAGAGAACATGCAAACTCTGCACAGAGGGGCTCCCACACCCCAGAACCCTCTTGCTGGGGGGGGGGATGCTGACCAACGTGCCACCTGAGGTGCACATGATAACCCTTAATACATATAACGTTATCCTACAACAGGAAATACTTTTTCCCTAACCTGATATGAAGTGTGTGTTTCACATGCGAGTATCTCTGATGATTGCCTCCATCCAGTACCCTGGAAATCCAGAATTCTCGCAAGAGCACAATTTGAATTTGCTCAGCGAGTCACTCCAGTAATCAGTAATGATGCTCATTACCCATGCCGTTGGAGCCGAGCTGCACCAATCACATTGGTGTATCTGATATACGCGGGCCAGAGGCGAGCTAAACAGATGACGACAGCGCTGCGACGACGAAGTCCGCAATCAGTCAGTAAACATTGCAAGATGGCTACGGATGAACACCAGTTGTTTGAAACGGCTTTGGCTGCTACAATGAACGAGTTAGACTTGGCTTTTTCTCTAAAAGAGGAACAGAAGACGGCGCTCGAGTCTTTCCTTTGCAAGAAGGACGTTTTTGCTGTTTTGCCGACCGGTTACGGCAAGAGTCTAATCTACCAGTTAGCTCCGCTGGTAGCTAAGCTCTGGATACGTCACCCCGTGAATTGTTCTGATTGGTCGTAGTGTTATCCAATTGCGTGCAGTGATATTTTCAAATGCATGCTTGGTGCCGCCCCTCGAGTTGGGCCATTTGCATTACTCATAGCCAGACCCTAAATCTTTCTAGATTTGGGTCTGGATTTCCAGGCTATCCGTCAAGTCCTTTCATTGTATCACATTTATCCATAGTTGTCTATTCTGGTTCCCAATAAAACAACAAGACAACATTTTTAGACTCCTATGTAGCCTACAGCCCTGTGGTGGAGAGGCAGGTTTTGCCTCCGGCTAATAAACTCATATCACTGTGACATCGCCCTAAAAGGGTCTTTACCAACTGCGATGCATTACGCTTGGAGGCATATGTACGAACAGTGCATGAGAACATCCTTTGTAGTTGATCGTAAACTTGCCTATATGGCAATGTTACTAGCCCATGACTTGTTATTTTAATTAAAAATATTATGTACTCTTATTCATATCACTTATTTTCACTTGTTGTTTTTATCCTATCAAATCAGTGTATCCGTTAGGAACTTCATTTATGTAAAAATGTCAGTGCATACACAACACATAATGAGACAAATAACATCATTGGACAACATACAGTGCAGAGTGGAGCTTAAAATATCTTAAAATATCCACCTTAAAAAATGCTTAAAAATGTCCATAAATAAGTAATAAATGTGGGTCAAGGACCCGAGCTAACTCAAGCCTAATGAGTCTGATAGAAGTAGGCACAAAGCTTGACGTGTGTGTGTGTGTGTGTGTGTGTGTGTGTGTGTGTGTGTGTGTGTGTGTGTGTGTGTGTGTGTGTGTGGTGTCCGAGGCTATTTGGAGTCCTTTCATTTTAGTCTGTCTGCTGTAGATACTAATAAGTGGTTCTTGGTCTGGTCCAGTGATGTTGCTGCTTATTCTAATGATTTCATTGAAAGGACTGAGGTGGATGTTGCACAATGCACCAAACCAGGCTGTAGAAGGTGATGATGTATTCAGTGAAGAAAGCTGGTAAGACTGACTGGTGGACCTGGAGTTTTCTGAATCACTACTTACAGTATTTTTGCACTAATTTCCTAGGAGATAACAACAAAAAGACCATAGTCAAAACCTGAAGAACATACATATTTGAAGAAACAACACACTTTCTCTGGTGGTGCAAATTATGACTGTTTCAGACTTTGCAGTTATCCTAAAGAGATTACAGTTCAACACAGCTAAGATGGAGCAGAAATGCGGTTTGAAAATATCCCCCTGTTGCCTGCAGCGGCTGGAGCTGTGATGTGCAGAGCAGGCAGGAGGGTCCCATATGGAGAGCCGGGGCGATGCAATGCGTCTGACTGAGCTCACGCAGAAACTCACAGCTCCACTGAACATTAACATCTAGACCCAGCTGGCCAGGCCATGCCGTGCATTTATGAGCATGTGTGCTTTGAGCTGCCATCACATACAGTACATGTGCAGGAACAGAGCTGCTCATTTGCAAGCATAAACCAAAGAAACATGCGTATTTGTAGTACATGTACATGTTAATGCATATACAGTTCACACACAAACATGGTCATACATAACTCTCAACACTCACACACACCTCTCTGTTCATCTAACCCAATCGCCAGAAAACATGTTGGCGCTGTATGTTTCTGGAAACCAGGGATAGGTTACAGTTGCATATCATTTTGTAGTGGATATGTCGAAACTTTTAGTTTCAACAACACAGTGGTAAGCATGTGGTTAAATCTAGGCACAAAAACAACCGGGGTATGATTGTGAAAAGATCCAGTTTTGGCTTAAAATACCTGGTTTAGGTTGCACAATCCTGGCAGGAAAAGCAGCAATGTCTCAGTAAAAAAAACACTTTTCATGCCACTATCTCAGCAGGAAACATTTATCTTCAAAAAACACCTGCTTGCCTTTGTACTAAACCCGCTGGAAATACAGCAACAAAAAAACGCTTTTTGTTGTACAATCTTAGCAGGACGAAAAGTGATATCTAACAAACAATCGCTTTTCATGTTTATTTATTTATTTATTTAAGCGTTTATTTGGAAGGGACAATGCATATTGATGAACATCAGTATAAAAATAAATGTAAATATGCCGGAGTTAGCAGAACTGCTAATTTACATCCGTTGTCCCTTGGCAGGTCACAGACAATTAAAAAACAAAAACAGCAGTTAAAACAAACAGTAAGAACAGTTCACAAACAGACAAACAATCATAGATGGAGGTAATGTCCCAGCAGGAAAAGCAGTGAAACAGAAAACAACTGCTTTTCCTGCCATCGTAAAAAAACAACAACCGCTGTTTGTGCCAATATTCTTGCAAGAAAAGCAGCGATGTCTGTGTAAATCAATGGCTTTTTGTGCCACTTCCTCAGCAGGAAACACAGTGATTTATCTGTAAAAAAAAAAAAACAACTGCTTTTCATGGCACTAAATCCACTAAGAACAGCAACGTTTCGGCAAAAAACTATTGCTTTTTGTGGTACTATCTTGGCAGGAAGAGAAGATATCTAATTAACAACTATTTTTCGTGCTAATGTCCCAGCAGGAAAAGCAGTGAAGTCTTGTAAAAAACAGCTGCTTTTCATGCCTCAAACACAACAACACACCCACATCTGATGCCTCAAAAGCCGCTGTAAACACAGCTATGACTCTCTAAATCACAACCAGTTTTGTTGTTTGTATGTCTTGAAACAGTGGTCTGTAAACAGTGTCACGTCATCCACCATCCCCTCCACCTCCCGATGACAAATCCAGCTCTTATATAACATCACTTTAGAAATGTTAATATGATACTTATCAAACGTGCAGATGTCACATCTTGGTGGTTTGCAGAAATGTACAATGCCAACAGTTTCTTCTGGTGACTGGGCTGCGTCATTTTATCGTCTGTGTAAAAGATCCCACTGTTGAAGAAGTCACTTAGAAATTTGCATTATGAGAAACAACCCCCAGGCCACACACACACACACACACACACACACTGCAGATTGCAGCAGATTTTATTGTCACACATGTATGCATTTACAATCACTAGAGATAAATGAGCCTTCTGCTAATGGAGAAACAACTGGCTAACTCAAAGTGAATGGGATGGAGAGAGTACACAAAAACAGTTCACCTCTTACTGACCCCCCCCCAATCTCGCTCTAACACACACACACACACACACACACACACACACACACACACACACACGCAATTGAATGAAAAACAGGATCGCTGAAATAGAAAATTGTTTGAAACACAAAGTGAAAAACAGTTTTAATGAGCCTGAAAAGGTTGTCAAGGGGAGGAGAATTACACACGCACCTATGCACACACAGGCATCCACACACACACACACACACACACACACACATATGTTTTGCACTTATATTGGATGAAATCCCTGTGAAGTGCAGCTCATTAACAAACCCTAAAGTATAATTTAAATCTGAATGTGATTGAAATAGTTCGGAAAGACGGACACCAATTCTGCCACTGCTGACTTGGCTGTGTGTGTGTGCATTAGATGTGTGTGTGTTCATGTATCTGTGTGTGTGTGTGTGTGTGTGTGTGTGTGTGTGTGTTTGCTGCCAGCAGCCCACCGAGCTGATGAGGCTTGCATGACGCGAAACAGAGAGCAGTTATTTCCACAACAAAAGGCTTAACAGAAATAGCACAAAGCTTTCACCTGAACAAATATGGCTGAAATTACCAAGAAACACACTGCCACATTCTTTATATCATCACCTGGATTTACTGTATATAATGTCTGATCATTAGATAAAGTGGTCAGTTTGTACTGTTACACTCTCAGAAATAAGGGTTACAAAAGGGTTCTTCCTAAACGGATGAAGTTCTTTTGAAAGAAAGGGTTCTTTAAGGGTTGTTGAAAGCATGCGTCAACAAGTGTTTTTCTTAAGCAGAAGAGTGGTGCCAGGGCGCTGAAGAGCGCTTCACCTCTGCAATATCCAGTGTCCGTCAATCTGCTCTGCCCAATCTGCTCCCAAAAAATAAGCTTTTCTGCTTTTGTTGTGACAGTAGACAGTAGCCTAGCTAAAAAGCAGTAATGTCACCATCGCTTTTCTGAAAAGTGTGAGGGAAATTTGACCAGAATGTACAGACTTTTTCACCATACTGAAGCTCTGACGCCAATTTACAACCGAGATTGCCCCTCATAAAAAACAGATTCACCAATA